CGGAATTCACAAGCAGACCTCAAAGAGATGCTTGTTTGTAATGTGTGACCTATATATATAAATGCTTTTGAAAGCATCGGATCAATCAAACACGCGTGGCTTTTTAATCTCCGTTTCAAGGCTGGTTAGTTTATATGACTGCTATTTTGTTTTCTTTATTGTTGTAACATTGGCCTTTCAAGTTTTCTTGAGTCTTTGTATTCAGCTTAAAAAACAAACAAACAAACGTGTTTTTAAAATAATAGATCACTCACTGATCATTTTGATCTCCTTGTTCTCTTTGATAAATTTGTTTCAACAGGTATAACACAAAGTGATTTCAAAGTAATAAAAAGTAAAAATAGCCTCCCAGATGCAATTAAACAGTGACCACCCAATGACTTTGAATTTTACTATTTTTAGTAGTGGAAAGGTCTCTTGTGGCTTATTAGACATAGACACACCTTAGTAAGTACCTTAATTAAACTTCTAGACGTGAATGCATTCCTGCCCTCAGCTCTGACCACGCCTGACTTAGCGTAAGAAACTTAAGATACAACTTAATGCAAGCATGATTTAAGACATTGTATACTTTATATCATCTTTATTTAGAATAAAATAGACATTTAAATCAGCTCTATATGACTGTAAAACCAGATGTATACACATTTAAGATGAAAGACTAGCAAAAGACTGATGCACCTTCTTTCAGGGTTGACAAAAATATCTGAATTAAGTGCCAACTGCCTTATATAATTTACAGTATAATACAGTAATTTACTGCAAGATTTAAGTTCCGTTGAGAAACAATTATATCTACTCTGCAATGCTGACACAAGAAAATGAAGGAAAAACAGAGTATCCCATTCCAAGTCCTGCTTCCCCTCAATCGCTCGTCGTCATCTCTGATCAAGTCTGTTTTTTTGCTTCTCTGGGAGCTTTGTGAAAGAAAATTCCTTGAATATTCATTCAGTGTCTCTGGCAAGTGTGCAGACTCCGTGATGACTTGCTGCCGTCTCTTTGCGTTCTGCAGGACAGACCTTCTGCACAATCGCAACGCTGGAATATCTCCAAGCCATGGGTGCCTTTCCTCTTGTGCTTGGTGCAGACCTGGCCTTCTTTTAGGACGGGCTTGCAGATTTTGGACCAAAAGTGACGGGCGCAGCAGAGTCCCTCTGCACAATCTGATGATCTCAGGCAGTTCTCTCCCTCTAGACCTTTAAAAACAAAACAACACTCATGAATACCATGCACAACTTACATTTTCTGAAGTCTGAGAGACCATTTTAATAGATCAAAATAGCTTTCACATTGAAGACTGAGTTGATCTTAAATCCTAGTCTTATAAACAAATTTTTCATTGCATTGCTAACATTCTCCAGTGGTCCTTACACTCAACCAAAGTTACTATATTTAATACCAGTCACATTCCTGAAAAGTGCATACCTTGTGATGCAACAAAGGATTAAAAGCTTCAAAAAATACCCACAAACTGAGCTGCAGCTAGGTCAAAATAACATGGAATAATTTGAAGCTATTCTACTCGTATATCATTGGTTATATTAATCATTGTTTACCTTTTAGCATTTGGTTTTGTGGGGAACCTTGAGTTGCAACTTTTGGTGGCACCACAACAGTTGAGTTTTCTTGGGAGATGGACACAAACTCTTCCATTCCAATCTGGTGGATCATGTCAGGATCATTTGGAAGGCAAACTCCTAATAGGAAGAGGCATTTTAAGTTAAGTGTTAGTCAACACTGTCTGTTATTTGTTTAAGCTATATAACGCTGAAATGGCTGTACTCTAGCATATCAGAACTGTGATCTTACCGTTGCTGCAGTGGTTGCCAGGGCAGCACATCGCATCCCGGATGCAGCGCTTCCTGCGCTTCTTGCACTGGAGACAGACACCGCGAGACAGGAAGCAGAACTCGTCGCCACCGCATTCCTCATCACTCTCGCAGATTAAAGGCTGCTGGAGTTTAGAAATACACTATTAGTCTAACGACCACAAAGTGAAAGCAGCTGTCTGAGATAACATGTGCTCGTTTATGTTCTTACCTGCGGTGTATCGATGGCGAAGTTCAGGCTGCCGCTGTCCGCAGGTGACTCCTCCGGACTCGGGCTGACCGGGTGACCGGGACTCGCCGCACCTGAACCGACCTTAATAGCGTTGGAGTTGAGCACCACAGAACCGGTGGATGCCGCTTTGATGCAGCCCACGAGAATGAGGCATGCGGTAGAGAACATGGCAATGTGCAGCATTGTCAGGTCTGGTATTCCTTGGAGGATGGAGGATGTATTCCCGAGGTGAGCGGAGCTCTTCTGTGGTTCCTCATGAGCTCAAGACGCTTCATTTATACGCGCGCGGGGTTGTTTGCGCTCCCGCCCCTCGCTGAGAGTAACAAAGGGCTGGATGAAATTTCAAAGCGTTGTGTCAAAGGCTGTCTGTCTATTGGTATGTTTGTATGCACGTTTTCATGAGCTGCCATCAAACAGCCACCACAGTAATATTGCTTATTGGATGGGGAAATCAGCTGTGTTACGTGACTTTTGAACAAGTTTTTTTTATTCAACTTCACAAGGATAAAAGTGCCCCTAGTTGAAGAAACGCCCATATATATATATATATATATATATATATATAGCCAACAAAAATATTCAACTTTAATGCTAAAGCTGCAAAGTTACAGTCTTCACAGATAGTTCAACCAAGAAAACCGAGAAACATTTTTTACAAACACTGACTGGTTAACATGAATCAATATATATATATATATTTTTTTTTTTTTGGAACTTTGGAACTGGAATATAATAATAATAATAATAATAATAATAATACAATTGTATTATTTGTATATTTTATTGTAATAGTCATATTGCTTTTTATTGTTGAAGTCTGATTATTTCGTTATTTTTGTTTCAAAAACAAATGAATATAAAATAATTAAAATCACTTCTGGATGTCAGTCACTGGACATTTAAACATGAATATACAGATATTTATTTTTCATAGCTTCACTTTTTTTTTCTCACAGTGATTTTGTATATTCCGTGTTAGAAATGTAGTAAAGATTTAGCAGAAGTTGAGTCACAACCGTGATAGGGGCCCTTTGAAATGCGTTTGATTAAACAAGTGCATAAGATCAAAGTGAATATGCAAATAAGAAGAAGTGAGAAGTTTACCGAATAAATTATCATTCAGTCTGTGCTTTTAAACAAATAGTGAGTGATTAGCAATCTGAGATAAGAATGTGACGCTCTTAGTTGACGTGGTTCATTGATCTGTCTGATTATAAAGATTTGAGCAGAGCAGAATCAAATAATTAGGGTATATAATCTCGCTTCTAAAATGTTAATATTATCCACATTCATTGAGAAACCCATGTGTTCATATGTAGCCCATCTTTATCAAAAGATAGCGTACATTTTGTTTGTCTATTGAATAGATGACTAACAGATTTGAGACAGTTAATTTACAGTCGCTATATAATTCAATTTTAAAAGACTGCTCTTAAATTGTAACATTAAATGAATACTAATTGTATCATATGACATTTCGGTGGACATAAACTGCGCGAATGATTTAACAATTTCAAAGTGTCTCTCTTCCCAATACTCCGGGATAACTCCCAAATCAATGCCTTTGAAGTTGTTGACAGGGGTCACTTCTAATAGACGGCCACAGGACAAACGCTCAATACACTTCATTAAACGCGAATTGGCAGGGTTCATCCCCATCCCTTTGTCTATTGGCTTTGTTTTAATTGTACATCCAAAGCCTACAGTGGTGTAAAATGAAGCGTGTGTAAAGGAGCCTTTGATGAGCTCAGATCAAACAGGACTGAAGCCCGTGTCTTAATCAGACTTCCACAGCGATGGCATTTTCGCAAACAGTCCATTTGCTCGGCTTTTAGCGGCTTTTTGTAGACATTGTACTCAGCAAATCCATTTAGTGGGATGCCAGGTAATCCTGTTTTAAGATTCCTGATGACAGCTTATTCAGGTCAGGGCTCCTGAGTGACTAGGGCTAGGCTATTATTCACTACAGCAATGCAATTCCGTGGTAAAAAAAATAAAAAAAATAATAATAATAAAATACTGGCGGCAACAGCAAAATGATAAATGACACCGGTGTTCAATATAGGTAGCTTTAATAATAATAATTAACAAAATAGGTAATATGGGTAATTAGCCTAACTATCCCTGTTGAAGGTTGCCAAGTAGTGTCCTTTTTTTGCAACTTGTTGCATTGATATTATACAAGGTTACAGGTGTGTGCCTTTATCAGTTTGTTGCAATGGCTTTGAAAAGTGATGGAAGTTCTGTTCTGCGATTCGGTTCTTTTGAACATGAACAAAGAACCAGTTCAAAACATCGAGTTAGTAGTTATTTTACGATGTGAGGTAATTACCTCATTACTTGGCATCCTGATGTGGCAGGCATGCATGTTCTAGCATGTTCCAATACTGTGTAGGGACATGTTAGTTATTAAGATTTATTATTATTATTATTATTATTATGTTTTATTATCAAGGTTAATGTGCCCTAGTTCATTTCGTTGCAGCCTACAGGTTATGAAAACTGTAGTAACATATTATGGTTTGCATTTAGCCTTTTATAGCCTATTATTTACTAAAGTCCATTTAAACTTGACTGAAAAAGTGTAATACCAACTCATGTGCATAAACTGCAATGGTATGTTTCCATTATGTTTTACTTGTAACATTTGTAGCTTTTTACCTTAACTGTTCACACTTTTTTTATTATTACTGTCGGATCTTACATGTTCACGACGGTTCTGGGTTCACTAAGTCTTTCGGTTGATGACTGCTAACCGCTAGAACGAGTGATTCGTGGACGGTGGACGAAACATTCAGGGGTGCATTTCCCAAAAGCAATGGTCATTGGATCATTGGGAAACGCACCCCAGACAATTAATTGGGAAAAGCGTCGACTCAAACGATTCGTTGACGAATCGGACATTGCTAGTTTAGCTCAGTCGGAACCCGTTTTGTATATATATATATATATATAAACATTTACCCCTGGTCCTACAATAAATAAGATTACATAATTGGTTTTCCAGCACAGCACTTTGTGTTCAAGCTATTATAGACTACAGGCAGTCTTCTCTTCATTGTTTAAATGAGTCGAGTCATGAATATGATTGGTGAAAATGACAGGAGAAAATATTCAGAAAGTATGTCTCGTATCAGTAATAGAGCTGATTATGTAACCTCATAAACACAATTCCGATCTTACCCACATTTTATAAGGGATGCGGCGACTTGACTGCCCTTCCTCTGGGGAAGTACAGTGTGTATTTTAATAAAAAGCCTGCCCTCTAGTGGAGCACAAACTGTATTGAGTCTAATTCATTATTTGATTGGATTCACATTGTCTTAAAAAAAATAAAAACTTGCAAGTTTCCCATAATACAAACTAAATGTATTCAGAAGCCTTTAAAAGAAAGAAAGAAAAAAAACCTTTTAAAGGGGATAGTCCACAAAAAAAATAGCAAAACCTGTTATCATTTGCTCACCCTTACGTCGTGGAAAAATTATCAATACTCAGTCCAGATCATAGTACTGTCTCTACTTATGATTCTGTTTTTAAGACCCAGACCTAAAACCTGAAACCACTACTTGTGCAATCAGTCAAACATAAAACAGCAGAGGAAAAAAAATTAAGGGCTCATTTTTAAGACATCGGCTCCAGCACGAGGTGGTCTGAGCCCATATCTGAGGCCGTGTTGGGAATATGGACTCCAGTCTTTCTGATTAGGACAGTTTTCGTGAGTCGTGGGGTGCGGCGGGGGACTGAGACGCCCCCAGTGGCACCGCAGGACAGAAGTGTGGGCGAAGGCAACTTGGTGTCACAGAGCTGGGCTAGACGTCATCCGTTCTCCTCTTCGCTGACGAACCACACGGGACACTCCAGGGCAGGGCATGTTACAAGTTTCAGTTTTAGAAATCAGTGTCCCAGCCGGAATTGTCATCTGGGGGAGGGTCTTCATTGTCCTCAGGAAAGCTATCAAAGTTACTGGTGTCAGTCGGGCTTGCAACCTAATAGGTGCGTGAACGGAGGAAATGGGATGTTAGACGGATAGATATTAAGCGCTAATGTAAATGCTGTAAACACAACTGTAAAGAAATCATAATGTGTGCCGGCACATTTATTCGCTATTCAATGTCTAAAATACCAACCAATATAAATTAGTATTTAATTCATACGTATTTCTTTCTAATCAATTAACTTTTATTTTATGGACCATTGTGGAAATAGGGTTGCACAATTAATCAAAATAAAACTGAAATTGCAATATGGCCTACTGCAATTATCAAATCGCAAAGGCTGTGATTTAATTTTTGAAAAAAGAAGAAATGAAGAGCCATAAATATTATTATTGTAATTTCACAGTTATACTGTACAAAATATATTATTTTTCTGAAATACTTACAAATATTTTATTTTAGAGTAAAATATAACAATAGTAATATTTATTATTTTAGCTCCAACTTGCCTCAACACACCTGCTGGTAAGTTTCTAGTATGCCTATAAGTGCTTGATTAGCTGGTTCAGGTGTGTTTAATTGGGGTTGGAGCTAAACTCTGCAGGACACCGGCCCTCCAGGACCGAGTTTGGGCACCCCTGGGTTAGAACATCACAGTTAATTTAAAACTTGAAATTTACATGTATTAAATGTGTATTAATGTGTCATATTGTACTTCAAGACTTTTTAAATGTACTCACCTGCATAGTTTTTTAATTAGATTGCATGCATTTTTGGTGATCTTCTTTGGAAATTCTATCATGTCGATTCCTCTTAAAATGATATTATATGTCTTCATACCCCGGACCCCACGGACCCCACATTTATCCAGCACTTAACTAACAATGTAATTATGTAAAATGTATTTGAAATGCAAATCTCTTAGTTTATCCTCCTTATATTCAAATTCGCACTTATGAATTAAATTGGAAATGTTTTATACTTACATTAGGAATAATTGGAGGTGTGAGAGTTCCTTTGCGCAGGCCTTCCCAGTTAAAGCCTTCAAACCATCTATGATGGAAAAAGAGAATTAATATCTGTCCCAGACAAACAGAATAGAAATGGTGGGTAGGGTAGGATTTTCAGTTATGTTAAATTTCAGTCTTTGGAATTAATAGATTTAAACAATTATACTTTGAACAGGAATGTTACCAAAATGGTAAACAAATCTTGACCCCATGCACAGCATAATAAGACTAGTTTTATAGGAATTCCTTGACCTTAAAGTTTTATTATAACATTTCAGCACTTTTCTAGACTTAAAAACCACAGTTTTTCCCCAAATCCCCAAAGAACAGGGATATTTCAATACTCACTTGTGCTTTTGGATATCTTTGACTCCATTTTTCAAGTTTCCTAGCCTCTCAGACGGATTGTCCCTGAGGGAAACAATATATTTCAATACAGATTTAATTTATAGTGCTGATATTCTGTCAAAAATGCTTTTGCTATATCTACATCCAACTAAGGTTTTTTTTTTAACCTTAAGGTATAAATGTGTGCTACAGGTTAGAACAGGGGTGCCCAAACTCGGTCCTGGAGGGCCGGTGTCCTTACATGTATTAAATGTGTATTAATGTGTCATATTGTACTTCAAGACTTTTTAAATGTACTCACCTGCATAGTTTTTTAATTAGATTGCCTGCATTTTTGGTGATCTTCTTTGGAAATTCTATCATGTCGATTCCTCTTAAAATGATATTATATGTCTTCATTGGATCCGGTCCTGAGAATGGTGGGCTGAACCAGAAATGCACATTAGATTTTATAAAACTAGGAGGAGTAATCCTAACACACAATCTGATAACATTTGAGCTTATCTTGTCAAACCCAATGAGAGAAAACACGTTTTACCTTCCAGTCAAGAGTTCATACATAAGAATTCCCAATGACCAGTAGTCTGCTGAGATGTCATGGCCTTTATTCAGTATGATCTCTGGGGCTACATACTCCGGCGTTCCACAGAATGTCCATGTTTTCTTCCCAAATCCAATCTTTTTAGCGAAGCCAAAGTCCACCTACAAGAGACAAAACTTCATATCAAAACTGCACCTTTGAGGCTTTGAGTCCATCATCTTTAGCTTTAAATATAATATTGTGTTCCAAATTCGGCAATAAAAAAGGGCATTTTGGGTAAATGGACCAAAAATATTGATAACGCATGAAGCACTACGGGGCGTATGTGCTTTAGATAGGAAGTCCCGCCCTTTGATACCAACTAACAACAAAATTCACCAGCCTCAGAATGTGTCATCTCATATTAAAAAGCACTTGAGATGTATACTCACAAGTTTGGCATATCCTCTGTGATCTAGAATGAGATTTTCTGGCTTTAAATCACGGTAAATTATTCCCTTGGAATGCAGGTAAGCGAAGGCTTCAACCACACAGGCTGTATAAAACCGTGTAGTAGAGTCTTCAAATGATCCTCTACGATAAAGAAAGAAAAACACTTCTGTTTTACTGGGTTTCCATCATTTAGCGTGATTAGCGTCAGCCATCATCACAAGAACAATTTGGCTATACCTGTCTCTAAGAATGGTCCAAAGCTCTCCTCCTAGACAGGCCTCCATCAACATGTACAGATATTTGCTGTCTTTGAAGGTCCTGTACAACCTGAAGGAACACAACCACACAATTTTGTCCCACAATATATGATTTCGCCTTCATAGTTTTTAGGATATGACCTCCAATGATGCTCTCAGGAGGTTTTAGCACCTACCTTACAATGAAGTCTGAGTGGGCCTCCTGCATGATCAGTTTCTCAGAGCGGATGTGTTCCTGTTGCCGCGTGTCCACGATGTGACGCTTCTTCAGAATCTTCATTGCAAACGTTTTGGTCTCTTCACTCTTGAGCTGCACCTGTGGACACCAAAGGCACGCAAAATATGAGCGCTGAAAAAGTGCTAATAAGCTAATTTTCGATGGAAACTAGCTGTAAAAACAAGTGCCAGTGCTCCTTATTATAGCACTTGAGTCATGGTCTATTCATGTGTTAAGGGTCCTCAAAATAGATCAAGTGAGCAGGAATTCTTCACATTGCGTCTCTGTGAAGGCACTTGCATGTTCATTTGATCCTGTAGCTATCTAGCAAACGGATAGCACTACAGGCATATCACAGCCCTGGCGAAAGGACACTTGTTTTTACTATGTTGCTGCAGTGCCAAAAATAGGCGAGTGGAAAGGGGAATCCTCTTCCCAGACAGCTGGGCTTTCCTTTACAACAATCCGCAATGCGGATCTCTGCCCTCCTGTCTACGTCAAAGTTTCCATCATCTTTCTTCAACATAAATGGTCCTGCAGAAAATGTCATACAATAATGATTTACATGGGAACATTTATTTATCTATCTATCTATCTATCTATCTAGTTATCTATCTATCTATCTATCTATCTATCTATCTATCTATCTACTTACTTAACCCTTTTAACTTTGTTGTGGAAAGTTACCCTGAATAGAGTTACAACATTCCCAGACCTGATCTATCCTTCAGCACAGTAGAACACATGAGAGCTGCTAAAATGTAGGGGTGGAACGATACATGCATTCGTACCGAACCGTCATGGTACAGACATCTCGGTTCGGTGCATGAGGCTTTACAACGAATACAGGCAATTCAACGCAGCAATGCAACGCTGTTTGATAACCGGCCGCCAGCAGAAGAACAGCGAATGCCATGAGTTGTGCACTTGAAAACAAAGTCCACTATACAGTGACCATGTGCCTATTCTGAATGCGTCTCTCACAGACTGACAAAGGAGTATACTTTAAAGGCTTGTGCACTCAACTGTTTGCGAAATGGAGCTTTGTGCTTGTGTATCCTACCTCTCTCATTCGGCACAAATACAAATATTCCATAATATTTCCATATTTGCGATGTAACGTATCTGAATGCTAAACTAATATTTATGATGTAAATTATAGGCTTTGTACTTCAGTCGCGTTCGGGTTCCAACGGTGACACAGAGGCGGGCGCACTGATGTTTGGTTCACTGTATTTTATTTTGATGAAGTACCAACTGTGCTGTCAAGTTAGCAATGCTGGAACTTATGTGTTTTGTGTGTGTGTGTGTGCGTGCGCGCCGGCGCGATCACTTCAACTGTTTCCTTATACCAGCAGAATCAACTTTAAACACTTATTGTCTTATTAATAATGCATCACTGTATAAAGGTCTGCTTTTATTTGTGTACACTCACAATGAAAACAAAACACTGTACTTTTGTAAAATAAAGAAAACAAATCGGATGTCGCTTTCCGCCATTTGAGTTTCCTTTCTGTGAACAAATTAAGCTTGTCACAAAAATGAACTGAAACTCAGCGTATATAGGCTACGTTACGTGTCGCACTGTTTTTTTTCTCTTGTTTATCTGTAAACTAAATCAAATATATTTCAAGAATGTATTCCTTGTATGTATATATGTACTGCAGATTTTATATATATAACAATGTAATAATATTTAGTATTTTCACATCTAGGTGGAAAAAATTGTAATTTGTACTACTGTCTGTTCAAAATAAATGAAAAGAAACTTTCTATAAAGCATAAAGCATAGTAGATTTGTTTTTTTTCCCTGTTGTACCGAAATCGTATCGAACCGTGACCCCGAACCAAGGTACGTACCAAACCGTGACATCTGTGTACCGTTCCACCCCTACTATCTATCTATCTATCTGTCTATCTATCATCTATCTAGCTATCTATCTGTCTGTCTATCTATCCATCTATCTATCTACCTGTCTGTCTGTCTGTGTCTGTCTGTCTATCTATCTATCTATCTATCTGTCTATCTATCATCTATCTAGCTATCTATCTGTCTGTCTATCTATCATCTATCTAGCTATCTATCTGTCTGTCTATCTATCATCTATCTAGCTATCTATCTGTCTGTCTATCTATCCATCTATCTATCTACCTGTCTGTCTGTCTGTGTCTGTCTGTCTATCTATCTATCTATCTATCTGTCTGTCTGTCTGTCTGTCTGTCTATCTACCTATCTGTCTGTCTGTCCATCTACCTATCTGTCTGTCTGTCCGTCTGTCCATCTACCTCTCGGTCTG